TAACACACGAATAAAGCACGATTAACTTTATGTATACTATAATTTTTGCGACTATTGCGATTATTATTATGATTATGTTTTATTATCTGTAATGTTGTGATGATATCATCATTTATGACATTTGTTAATTATTATATTTAAAGTTTGAATCACGGATATAGATACTAGTATCTATATCCGTGGTTTGAATATTATGTACTGTTTTATCACAAAATAAAATAACTATGTATATAGTATTTGAGTTAATCAACAAAATAATATAAAACACACTTTTATTTTCGTGGGTTTTTTTTCCATTGGATTTTTTTTTTGGGTTTTTTTTCTGTGGGTTTTTTGTCCGTGGTCATTTTTTCCGCTTACCTAATAAGTCAGTAACAGAAGCACTAAGTAATTTTTGTAATTTTATTAAACAATACTAATTAAATATTTTTAAATAGTACTACACAAGTTAAAAGTAACATTATAATGAATTATATTTAGTATTTTATTCAATTACACTATAATAGTCATACAGTCAAGAGATAGTCTTAAATTAAATTGTCATTGTTATCGTTATTTAATAACTAACTTGTTGTAACATGTAATATATTGATACATTTTAATTTTTAATTAATGGAAAAAAAAAAAAGGTGATAGTCTAACATTACTTGTAGATGATTTTGTTGACAATTGTAGGTATTTCACTATTTTAAAAAAAATTTCATTTTATTTATGATAGGTAGGTTCTACATTAGCAACTGGAAACTTGATGATTTTTTCGGTTTCAGTCTGGTACCAAACAGAAATCTTTGAGTTGGTCACAGTGGCAGTGTGTACGGTTGAGAAGAGAACACATATTAACCTCGATATTTTTCAACTTGAGTTCCAGTAGCAATGTGTACAGTTTAAGAGAGAACGCAGGCGCTAGAGCCATGTCATTACACACTTTAATTTCTGGTGTATTTTAAAGATTACGGTTTCAAAACTATTTCTTTTGGTTCCAGTTCCTGACTAGGTAATTTAATATATATAATACTTATTTTACAAAATTGGTAATTATTTAAAAGAGACTACAATACACTTGGAATAAAAAGTGAAAAATCTTTACAAAAGTATAGTCACTTCTAAAATAATTCACATAAAAAAATAGTGTCGTTACAAAAAGTACAAACAGATTGTTTAAACATTAAAAAAACTCATTATAGGTAACTTAAATAAAAATGAACAAAATATTTGAATAAATAAAAAAAATTAAAATGAGTATACCATGTATATAAGTCACAATAAGAAAAAATAACCTCTGGATATAAACATGTTTAGTAATATAAATTTGCCTAATCATTATATTTATCTAATGCGTAACTTATGTCTTCAGGACTGACGTTAAGTGTTACTTTACGGAATATATCCCATCGCTTCTTTTCCAAAAATATAAGCCCGCTATCCCTTAATCGGTATGTCATCATAAGCACTTGTTGCTCATTTGGCAACTCTTCGCCTAGAACATATTAAATTGCAAAAATTATTATTTTTTAGACATAAACTATAATCAAACTGTACCTTCAAGCAAGCAAATGCTTTTCAACTGAGTATAAACTGAATCAATAGTACTATGCTCAATACCTGTACTAGTAGTAACATCTCTAAGTGCTCTGAGAAAAAATTGTTCAAATAGACAACAGCACCTGGAAAAAAAATAATCGTATTTTTGGAATAAAATAAAATCAATATTAAATCTAGTGAAAGCAATACATTTTTTCTTGTAGTATAAATTATTTCTTTAATGCTCTATTTATCAATTAAACCATTTAAACAGGTAAATTTTTATAAGATGAATTATTTGTTTCCCTTTATTTGTTCTTGACACATACTTAGGAATTAAAGTAACATTTTTGATAATTCCTATTATACAATTCTAATTAATTGTCGTCCTATTATTAAGCTAACTTCTATTATTTTCTACATCAATGAAAATAAATAAAGTTAAAAAATTAAAATATCTTAAATATTTACATTAGAATACCTGGATTGGTTAAAACTTTCTTAAGTTTTTTATGAACTTAGGAAAACTTTTTAATAGATTCGCTCAAAAAACTTTTATACCTGCCAAAACTAAAATAATAAAAATATTTATAGTGATAGGTACTAAAGGTAATTGCATTTTTCCTGTTAAATAAAATTAATCGAACTTTCAGTAAAAAAGCGAGTGTCAGTGGATTTAAGACAGTTTTAACAAAAACTATAGTATCATCAAAATATATGATATAAGGATAGTCTTCAAAACTATTGACTACTACTGGTCAAAGTTTTACTGTATAGTGACAATAATAAAAAAATATTTTATTTAATAACAATATTGTTGCACAACATATAAAACTATTATACCTGATAGCTGTTACACGGACACCAGAAAGTATTGCATTTAACACCTGATTAACATGGTTAATGGTTATCAATTGTGACACATCTTCAGACTTGACTAAATCAATGGCGCGACGACATATGTCTAGAGCTCGTCTTGCATCACCTGATATTGCTGCTACTTTTCTAATATGGAAAAAAACCATGTTTTTAGATCAAATATTTAAATTATAGAAAAATGAATTACCTTGCTACCAATTGAACAGCGTCTGGATCAAATGAAGAATTACCAATCAATCTATTCATGATTATCTCTTGTAACTGCTGAAATGTGTATGGCTTGAAAACTAGTCTGGTCAATCCCTAAATACATATTGAAACAACAAATCCTTAATAACTATCAATAATATAACTAATTTATAATTATCAATTTATTTACCATTCTACTAGTTACGCATCCTCGTAATACTCGTTCAGGCAAATCCATAGTATTAGCAATTGTTATTACAATCACTTTTGAACCAGTTTGACTAGGCCAATCAAGTATATTATACACAACATCTTGTTTACGATTACAAATATGGTCCACCTAACAAATTAATGTTCAATAATTACAAAAATAATTAATTCAGTACTTAAATAGTTAAGAATAATAAATTACTTCGTCAACCAATAAAACTGTCGATAACTCTTTAACTTTTTTGCTAGAAAAATGGTCATTAAGAAGTGTTTGAGCTCTAGAAGATGATACTGTTTCATTGGTTAACTCTTTCCATATGACTGAAAATGCTTGATGTGGATTAGCAAGCCTTAAGCCATTTAATTCAACAAACTAAATAAGATATTAATTTATAATTTCTCATAAAACTAATATTTAAAATAATTATTAAAATGTATGTTATATTAAAAATTACTTTAAAACTGTGTTTCATTAATAAATCAGCATTTAGTGAATTTATTACTCTCTTAACAGTGGCAGTCTTCCCAGTACCAGGAACACCACTAATATACATACTCCTGTAAAAGTAGTATGCAAATAAATGATCAATAACTAAAAAGTACTTAGTAAACAATGCAATATTGATTTCATCAATTTACCCTGTTAACTCATCATTAATTTTTCTAACTAAAAAAGAATGTATAGATTTATATTCAACTTCACGGCACGGTAAATGTTTAGGAGCAGCATGTAAATGTAAATTTGCTCTTGCTTTTTCCAAAGGACTACATGGAATCTTTGCTCCACTATCCAATCTTTTACTAGCTGAAGCTGTCAAGTTTTTAACGTGTGTCTAAAATGACATTGCATTAAAACAAAATAATAAATTATTAGCATGTTTAAAAAATATATATTATTAAATCATTTGGTACTCATTTAATACACTACTCAGTACAAACCGATACAATATTTAGTATTTTGGTAAACTATCTAAATTTTGGTTCATACTATTAAATCTATTTCGTTTAGTTAACGTTAGGATTGAAATAAATAATTTTACTATACATCATCCACTGAAAGAATATGATTTTGCAGGAACTAAAGCTTTTTCAAATGCTAAATCACCTATTATAGAATCTGACTAAGAAGAAAGCAATTCAGTGAGGTTTAGTCGTAGTATATGGAAAGTAGTTATGCTTTCTCAGATGAAGAATAAATGTATGTATAAAAGTATATGCTAATTGTAAGTATTAGGGTAAATAGATCATTGGTCTGAAAATAATGTTATAATATAATTGTAACAAGAGTAAAAATATGTATTAGCAGGTAGCATATTAAACAAGATTTGTTTTCCCAGGTGGGTACCAGACTAATACCAAATTCTGAATATTTACTTTGGGAGTTTTTCTTGGTGTCTTTGGTGTAGAAATCTCAATTTCTTTATTTTCTGGTATATCTCGTAGGATACTTTGACGTACTTTTGAGCCAGAGCGAGAAGAGACAGATTGTCTTAAATGTTTCTGAAATTTTTGGAGAAAATAACAGAATATTAAAAAATATAATTATCAATATTTAATTCTTAAATAATGTTAACAAAGCATATATTTAAAACAATATCATTAAAAGTTATATAAAATGCACTCAAAAACATTATTAACATAATAATATATACTTCATTTAATAATACTTACATTTGTTGGAGTCTTCCAAACACTATCCATGTCAAAATTTAAATTTTCATCTTCGTCAACTCTTGACATTTTTCTACCTTTTTTATTCTAAAATCAGAAGTTTATATGTATTACCAAAATATTGTTTTTCAAAAAATATTAATTGATAAACTAAAACAAATATTTACACTTTTAGGAGTATTTAAGATTTCATCTACTGATTGTCTTGTAAGTTTCTGGAATCAAATTTTGTAAATGTACACTCAAGTTTAATAAATAATTATACTATAAACATACTAAAGAATACTATAAAGTTGTATAATATTTAATGACAATTTAAAATTAAAAGTAATTAATAATTAAGGTTGAATATGAAATGTAATTACTCTTTCAGGAGAATCCAGCATTTTAGTTTCATTTACTGCATCGCCAAATCGATCTACAGGTTTTCTAAGACGTTTCTACAAATATTTAATATTAGTTTTAGGTTACATTAAATGTTTTACTTTACATACAGATGCTGATGTATTAGCAATGTCATTTGATTTCATAGATGATTCAGAAACTCTCCGTGAACGTGTCTGTAAAATTACATTAAATTAATAAGATAAACTGTAATTAATCAATGATATTAGTAATTAGTATAAATTGGGTTCTTAGTTTTAATAATTAATATTTCAAATCCAATACAGATATTAATACATTTATTATTTTCACTATTGAATACCAAATCAACACTATTTTTAATAGTTTGGTGCACAAATTAAAATGTCCTGATTCGTAGTCAAAGGTCACCAGAATTCTAGATAAGTACAATGATCACTCTGTAGAAAAAAAAAGACTTAGTCAGAAGCCCTGTCATAAAATAAAATTATTATTTTGGCATCTTAAATATTTCATATTTAGTGTCTGTAGTGTCACCATCATTCCTTTTAAACTACATTTAATTTATCATTATCTTGGCTCACTCTAGAGTATTAATTTTCTTAAATTATTCTATATTATATATATATTATAAATTTAATATTTTAGGTGTATTAAATATATTAAGACTAATTCTGGTGTATATCATGTTATTGACACACATGAGTTTAAACAATACCAATCACCAATTATGCAATAAATTTAAAAATTGCATACAATGCACTAAAAAATATACTAACCAAATAAATATTGAAATATGTATTTACATGTGTACTTCATTTAATTATACATACTTTTATTGGAGTTTTTGAAACATCAATGTCAAAATTTACATTTTCATCTTCATCAATTATTGATATTTTTCTACCTTTTTTATTCTAAGATCAGAAAAATGTATGTATTATTAAAATATTGTTTTTAAAAAAAATATAAATTTAAAAACTAAAACAAATATTTACACTTTTGGGGGTGTTCATGTTTTCATCAGCTAATTGTCTTGTCCATTTCTACAAACAAATTTTTTAAATGTATAAATGTATAGTTATATAATTTATTATAAACGTACTGGAGAGTACTAAACAGTTAGGGTATATTATAAAATATTTAACGGCATTTTATAATAAAATTAAAAGCAATTAATATATAGTTTGAATAAGAAATTTAATTACTCTTTCAGGAGGAGAATCCAGCAATTTGGTTTTATTTATATCCACTATATCGCCAAATCGATCAACAGGTTTTCTTAAACGTTTCTAAAAATGTTTAATATTAGTTAAAAGTTTCATTAAATGTTTTATTTTACATACAGATGCTGATGTATTAGCAATGTAATCTGATTTTATAGAATATGATTCAGAACACCTCCGTGACCGTGTCTATAAAATTACATTCAATTAATACATTGACAATTTAAAATTTTCATTTAATTCAAGGCTTGGATTTAATGGTATTGATACCATTCCAATACTGCTATATTGGGTTCTCAATAATAATATTTAATTTGGTGAATTCAATACAGATACTTGCAGATATTAATATTATCACTAATTGAATTCAATAATTTTCACTATAAACTACTAAATCAAAATTCAGTTTATATCAATATTGGGTTTTTATTGTTTTTAAGAAACATACAACATATCAATTAACATTATTTTAATAACTTAGTGTATAAATATAAGATATCATAATTTGTGGCCAAAGGTCACCAGAATGCTAGATACCATGTCAGTCCGTCCAAAAGAAAAGATTTAGGAGAATTCAAAACGAACTGTTTATAACGCTAAGAAGTCGTATCATCAATATACTATGGTGCAGGTATACTATTCTATATATATAAATCAAATAGATATTAAAAACAAGTGAATTATCATGTTGATCCTCAATTTACGTTCCAAGCCCTGTGATGTATATAGAATTATTACTTTTGGTTTGTTCAATATTTCATCTTCAGAGTCAATCAAGTCAGTATCAGAGTCACTATAATTCATAGCCTCTTCAACTAAATTTTGAACAGCATTATCACGCCGCTCACTCCAACGTAGTGTTCTTCTTGAATTCTCCTATAATATCAAATATAATTGAAAAATTAGATAGATTAGATTTCAATTTCTTTTGATTACACAATTTACAATTATTTTAAATGCATTACTTAATTTGTACCATAACATTTTGTAGGATAATCCACACTCACATAAGTTATATTAAATTAGAAATCTGTGTTCAGTATAACCAATTTTGTATTAGCCATAGCGTAAATTTGTCTTATTATTTGGAAGATTTTAATATTAATAATAGATCAAAATACTTTATTATTAAAGCTAATAACACAAAATTAGTGCTACTGAATTAAAATTTACAATATAGTATGACAGACAATAAAATTATTATGCAGTAAGGCAAGTATAGCATTCTCATCTACCAAATGCAAAAAACTTGCCATTTTCCAATACTTAGTAACAGTTATAGCTTCTAGGAGTAACATATGATAAGTTGTTACTCAAGCAATGTTACATTATGGATTGTACATTGTTAATTTATGGCTGATGAATAAAAACATATTTAAGATGTGACATACTTTTGGTGTAGCTGGAAGACTTGAGAACTTCTGCAATTCATCGTTTTGAATTTTTTCATTTGTTGTCTACAAACAAAATGATGTACAATATTTTATTCAATACAATCAAGGTTTGAGATATCATGACTTGACTATAGTTACAAAAAACAACATACTTTTGATAAACGAGGAGAGAGTGTTGATACATAATTAGATTCATCAATACGCTTAATATTCAATTTTAATTCACACTATTTAAAAAAAATGAATACAATAAATTATTAAAACAAATATATTTAGCTTACCAAACTAACCCACTAAGATATAACTTACCAATTGTAAAATTGTATTTTCGACAAAACGTCTGTTAGCCTAAAATTAAATGGGTACAAAATGTGTATTCAATTTTTAAGAAACACAAATAACATTTATTGCTGCATTATATTATAAACCTATTATTATTATTATTATTATTATTTGATGTTATGTTGAGCCCAGAGCAATTGAATATAATTCAACATTTATTTTAAGCACAATTTAGAAAAAAATTGTATCTACTTACATAAGGATTTTAGGCTATAACATCATAGTAAAAAAATAAGTCCTAATTCTAATTGTAATATAAACTCAACGCTATTAAATTTAACATAGATGAATATGGGAAGAGGGCATTTGTCACCCTTTCTCAAAAACCCGTAAAGATCTGGTATGATTTTTCCTGGATTGGTTTTCCTTTAAAGAATTATAAGTTTGAAAAGGCCCACAAAGAGTATCGGCACTATTGCCATAGTTTATTCTGCCACCCTGTCTCCTTTGATTATTTAGTATTTATCATAAAAATAATGTATATTGTACTTATCGAATAGATATTCTTTTTTTGTTAGATACTTACAGTATATGTAGTATTTGCATTTTTCAATCTTTGCCCAGTGCAAGGAGTTGCACTGTTTTTTGATGGTGAGTTAACCATCTTAAAATCAAAAATAAATATTATAAATGTAGTAAAAATATCAATAATAATTAATTTAAACAGTTAAATACACATTATATTGTAAGTTTTAACTACTAATAGATTAAAAAGAAATAATTTTCACACAACTGAATGAAGAACAAGTCAATATCAATTTAGCTAATATTATAATAGTTTTTAATATTTATTGTTTACCTTCTAAATAATAATAATTGCCGAATGGCCTAGTGTTTTAGTTACTACAGTACTGACTAGTGACTTCTCAAAATTGAGAATACTACACATCCAGCCAAGTGTTAAAAATAAGTTACTGACTAGTGTCTACTGGGGCACTTCGGTCTGACTGTCGGAAAAATAAAGAAAATACTAAATATCTTCTGAACAATAACAATAATCAAAAATTATGGAAAATGGAACACGCAACAAAGAAATAAAGAATGCGCGGGAAACGTTATCGTCAAACATATGACATCATGCCCACAGGCCACAGCTTATGATAACAGATAAAGTCGGTACTTTGTGCGGTCAAAAGAAAAAAATTTCCAATAGTTTTGGAAGGTAGCAAGAAAAACAAACAACAAATGAAGAAAAAACGATCATTTTTACGGGAACCCGGTTTTCGATCAAATCGATTTTGGTGTTTAGTGTAACTCAAAATTAAAATGACATTTTTTTCACTGAATGTTTATGTAAGCATTTTCTAAACACCACAAAATTTTCGAAATATTTTGACTCGTGTTCAACTATTTATAGGTGCCTTACATTTTTGATTATTATTTGTTTTTTTTTTAAACTAATGTAGTAATGTCGATAAAACATTTTTAAATCAAGAAACTTGAAAATGTATTACAAGGTAAGTTGTTAGTGGAAAATAAAAAAAAGCTAAACGTATTTCCACAATAATTTTTATGAGCATTTGAATTTAGAATGTTGACAAAATTCGTGAAAATCGCGAAAATTAGCAAATTATTTTGAGCTAGAAATACATAAAGAATTTTCTTTTTATGTCTAAGATTTAAAATTTATTACAAGAACCCTTACAGGTTTGTCTACCTTTATACAAAAAAATTCCTACTGGAAAGTCAAATTAAATTGTTATGAGCGTTTGAAGTTGAAATTTTTACAACATTGGATATTCACTCGATTTCTCATGTAGCGATTTTCTTATTTAGTTGTTAATTTGTTATTCAAAAACGAATAATTACAGGTACCTTCTTGAAATATACACCACCGTATGTTTATATTTTAAATTCATATACTTGATAAAATTTTTAAAATATTTTGACTTGTTTTGAGCTATTTGCGGACATTTCAATTTTCAATTTTTTTTTGTTTTTTCTATAATTGTTGATACAATTTTATTGGTTGGGTCAAAAAGCATGAAAATGTATTAACTTGACTCTTGATATATTGTTACAATAGCAATTGAAAAATATTAAAAATACATAAGCACGATTTTTTTTTTATAAACTCTTAATGTGATTGTATGAACTACTTCTAAATAAAATACTGGCATGAAATTTTCTATGCTGGAGTAATTGCCAAACGTTTAAATTGAATGCGCACAAAATAATCTAGATGGATAAATTAACAGCGGAAAAATTCTATAGAGATAATTTTTTTGAGACCACAAAACCTTAAATCGTGCGTATAGTAGTAATAATAATTAAATATCTAAGTAGTACAATGTGGCAGGTAGTAAGCAGTGGTGTACTGGTGTCACCCCGGCTGCAACGGCAGGTGGTAGCGGCGGACCAATGAGAAACATGGAAATACTATTACCTACGTCACATTACAGGGTGGATACGCGATGTGTTTCAAGACCGAAATATTGTTGACACAGTGACACGAAAAAGTATAATATACCTACCGAAGTACCGAACTATATTTTTCCCATGGCTGCTGTAAACCCGACTTTAATTGCGTATTTCTGTTACACGACAGGACTACCAAGAGTGTGGTGTACGTAAAATTAATGGGAAAAAAACATACACATTACTTGGAGTTCATACTTACCATTTTGGATCGTTGTCGTCGTTTAAAATTTCGAACCCATCACAAGTCTGAAAATCATTGACCATTCACCGATGCATAAAATATATGATTTGCAGTCGGTCGTCGTGAAAAAACCGAATATCCATGGATGAATTTGCCGTGGTCTAATGCATTGAGTAAATAATATTGGTCTAATGTTGATAGACGAAAATGTACGAAATGTATGTCTATGTCTCAAAGTTAAAATCAGATTTTTCGTTAGCGTTTCTATACTCAGTACAATATTATTAGATTATTTATTAACTGGTGTGGCGGTGTTTGGAATTATCGCTTCATTTTTTCACCTATTCTTCTATCTTATCGTTGAAGAATAAAAAAAAATTGTATCGTTAACGGTCGCTTCCGTGCATTACCTGTAGTTTGAAATAACATGTTAAGAATAGGACAGACAGTGGCGGATGTTAGCCTAAAGACGACCGCTGGTGACTTAAGCGTACACGAGTATTTCGGAGGCAGGTGAGAAAATCTAAAATAGAGATCACTATAGATAACTACAATTATGCCCGGGCGGCCAAGCACAGTAAATTTTTATCCTGTAACGTTGTCTCTTGTCCCTACAATAATCCTTTCAGCGGATGGACGAACGTTGATTATTTATTGTATGTGGCCATGTGCCCCTGTACCTATAAATTATAATATATAGTGGATACTCTTGTTTAAATTATTTTAATTAAAGTGCAGACCTGGGAGTGTCGTGGGTACCTATATAATCTATATTTATATAATTTATACTTATTGGCTACTACTTTTCAGTTTCCCGGTACCGTATTCTCAGGTATTTTATATAGTTGTAAATACAACGTTTATTTTTTTTAGTCCAAACGAAATTATTTTCTCTTCGGTATTTTTTTTTTTACGTGTTATTGAGGACCGGAGGACGAACTGCTATAGGCTTTGCTTCCACCTTTGTTCTCTCTGTAGTACCTATTTTATGATAATAATGGTCTACATTGAGACACAAATTTAGATATTTAGTCGAGTCATACAAATCCTGAAATCCATAGGTACTTTGAAATGGAAGCATATGTAAGCATATATTAAAAAAATATATTAGTGCTAATTTTTATGGAAGGGACAGTGAATATTTTCTCAGAGACCCTGTCCCCTGAGCATGAGTATATAACAAATAGCTTAACACGGCTCTGCTCTTATGTATAGAAAATATTGTGATTTGTGTGCGACTGTTTTTAACTATTCTATAATTTATTTTGTAGCTGGGGTTTATTAGTATGCTATGTAGCCGATTTTTCTGCTGTATGTACTGATGAGCTGAGTCGATTGGTGAAAGACTTTCATGAGTTTCAATCTCGAGGTATAAAAATATTGGCTATGTCTTGTGATTCCATTAATTCTCACACTAAATGGATAGAGGTAATAATATATTAAAAATTAATAATTAGAAAAAATATTATATCATGAAAATGTATGTAATAGCTTATAATGTCAAATGTTTAATAATTAACATACCTTACCTATATTTTTACAATAATTAATTTACTTTTCATACTTTAATTACATATATACGATATACCATATATACGTATATAATTAAGGTAAAATACGGTAGTTAAAAGTATAGTTAGTACCCATACGTATACTTATATAATGTTAAAAACTAATTTTTCTAAATCTATATATATATTAAGGATATAAAAAAAGTGAGTGGAATGAAATTTGACGAAGAATTTCCATTTCCAATTGTGTCAGATCGTAATCGTATGATTTCCTTGTACCTGAACGTATTAGATGCAAAATGCATCGATGACGACGGCATACCTTTACCTTGTAGAGCAGCATTTGTTTTAGCACCTGACATGACCATTCAACTCATACATTTTTATCCTGAAAACATTGGACGTAACTTTGAGTAATACATTTTTTTGTAGTATTATATTTTTCTCTTATTTGAAATATAATTGACAGATACTATTCTTTTTTTAGTGAAATTTTTAGAACCATTGATGCATTACAGCTGACATTTAAATTCAGCAACGACTTATTTACTCCTTGCGGATGGAAAGTTTGTACCTGTTTTTTATAAAATATAAATGACTTACCTATATTTTAATCAAAATCTGTTAAAAAGAAAAAGTTGTATTTTGACACCTACTTACATGCGCGTCCCCATGGGAGGCCAAGACATGCAGGGCATTTGTCACCCTGCAACTTCCAATCTGTTTGCCCTTTGCCCAAACATATTATCTATTTTATCCATTGTCCGTTTTAAATTACATTTGCCTCCTCCCCTAGAAAATGTGTGGGGACGCCCATGACCTAGTGCCAGTGTTGGCTAAGTTATTTTACTCGTTACTTGAATATAATTTTAAGCCGTGTTCATACATGTTAAATGGTTCACATATTTGTCGAATTTCTTAAAAATTGCCATTCGACAAGCAACAATAGAATTGGTATCTAACTTTAAATGTTTAAAAAAAAATCGTGATAAAGTTTTTTTAATATTTGTCAACTGCTAGTGTAACAATATATCAAGAATCTTATAGGTATTAGATTTTCATGCTTTTTAACCCAACCAACATAGGCGCAATTTCAATAAAAAAACTGAGGGTGCTTAAGCTCTGCATTTTCTGCAATTTTCTTAAATTAAAACTAAATTATAACTATGAGGCATTAATGACTTTTTAGTTTTTCGAGCAAAAATGTTTTATAACAATTTAACCTTGAATATTTAGTTTATTACATTTTTAAAAATTAATACAATAGTCAATATAAGTATTACAATTTACAGGAACAAGAATTATGTATAAGTTTATACAAGATTTGTACGTCTGTCTATTTCTGCAAATGAGTCAATAACTTTATTAACGTTAATTAATTTTTTTTTTGTAAAGAGACGTTTTGATGCATAAACACAACAATTATTTGAGGATGCTAATTTTAAAATTGGGGGTGTTAATACCCCCTAAGCCCCCCCCCCTATTTGCGCCTATGCCAACCAATAAAATTGTATTAATGTTTATAGAAAAAAAATGAAAATTGAAAATGTTTGTCAACAGCTTAAAACGAGCCAAAATATTTTAAAATTGGAACATGAAAATTCGAATGAATATCCAATATGGTAAAAATTTCAACTTCAAACGCTCATAAAAGCTGAACTTGAGTTTCCGGAAGATATATTTTTTTTTTTGATAAAGATAAACAAACTTATAAGGAATCTTGTATTACATTTTTAAATCTAAGATATAAATAGAAATTTTTTTATGAATTTCTTACTCAAAAAGAATTGCCAATTTTCGTGATTTTTACGAATTTTGTCGAAATTCTAAATTTAAACGCTTATAAAATTTTTTGTGGAATTACGCTTGACTTTTTTTTTAATTACCACTAACAACTTACGAGAAACCTTGGATTACATTTTTAAGTTTTTTGACTAAAATTTTTTTTTTATTATAGTTTAAAAAAAAAACAAATAATTATAATCTAAAATTGTATATCCCTATAAATAGTTCAGCAATAGTCAAAATATTTTGAAAATGTTATAGTGTGTAGAAAACGCTAACACAAACATTCAGTGAAAATTTCATTTTTTTTTTAGAGTTACACTAAAAACCAAAATTTATTTTATTAAAACTTGAATTTGGGTAAAAATTACCTCTTTTCTTTAATTTTTTATTTGTTTTTCTTGTCGCTTTTGGAAATTATTGAGAATTTTAAATTTTAACCTTCTAATGCTGTTGAAGAAAATCGAAGCACTTTTACTACCCCATGACGACCCCATGACGACAGACATCAAAATAAAAAAATAAAAGGAAACATCATTGTAACTTGTAAGATCGCTCCGCTTAGAGTCTAAACTATGCTTTATCATAGGTGAGGTTAATTATACCTCAATCATGTAATGCACAATAGTATAAAATCATTGTTCTTAAGAGTTAAGACCATAGTACGTTACATTAGCAGGTAGTGTTATCTAACAGCTTATGTGTTGAGTGTTCTATATTACTTATAAATTATAATTGGAAATCTAATATTTTGTTTATTTTTTTATAGCCTGTCACGGATTGCTTGGTATCGCCAAAAATAACTAAAGATGAAATTGAAAAAAAATTCCCTACCTCCACAGTTGTTGAATTGCCATCGGGAAAAGATTATATGCGTATCGTTCCAAAAATGGAGGTTAATAGAAAACACTAAAAATAAAGAATAATGCATTTCAACATTTTGAAGTTATACCGGTTCTGAAGTAAATAATTATTCTATAGAATTTATCTGACTTATTTTTATTAAAAATGTACTCATTATCAAATTATTTATTTGTTATTTGGTATTGTAATTGTAATTATTTATAAAAAGTTGCATAATTAAAAAAATTATTAAAACTTTACCAATGTTTGAATATTTTGCAAATATAAATAACTATATTTTTGTTTGTTACATAAAATCATGGTTATTTTTAAAATTAATAACTATCAATATTTTTCTATCATTTGTCTATCTTTTATTTATTTATAATTTTTTTTTTATTGATCTTAAGAATCGGTAACTTTGGTCATAATCATTTTGTAAGGGGGGTGGTTATGGTAATATGGTTGGTTGACGTACACGTACATGTGTGGAGCAAGTTTCATCACTAAAACCCCGGCCGAGTGGTCACCCATCCGGGAACTAACGGTGCCGGTCTCGCATGCTCGTTAGTGACGGAGGCCAATCACCGAGCAATATCAGTCCCCTAGCCATTATTTATTTTTACACTAAATAATTAACAACAAACAATATTATGTCAGGTCTACCCACAATGCAAAATTACGTTTATCGGTATATTCACCATTTCACCTACCTATTTAAAACACCAACGGATCAATGCACATTATCTAATTATTACAATATTGATGTTATTTTAATACATTTATTGTATTTTATTAATATTTTTTTACCTATAGCTTTATAAGCATCTGTATGTGAATGCACACATAATATGCAGTAGGTATGTTGTATACTTGTATGTACCTTAAAACAACAAAATATGTGCCATGTATTTAAAATGCAATTAATGAATAATGATATTAAATTTTAAATAGTGACTCATTTCATTTTGACATTTCTTTTTCAACTAATAAATGTTTGTTTAGATCAATAGATAATAGATCATTCCATATAATTGAACATAATTTGTTTCATTGTTTGTTATTCTTCCAATCTTCCAGTATTTCACATTACGAGATTTTAATACTTGTTTTATGTTGATGGTTGCTACAATATGTATCCAACCACCCCAACCCACCAGAAAAATGTCCACCTTGAAGCCTAGGTCACCACGCCACTGTGAGTATTTCATTGAACTCTTAAAGAAGCAACTGTCGTTATTTTGAAATTATTGCCTGTATTTTTTACATTATTTAATATTTTTTAAATAAAAAACTTTTTATTACTTTAAGGAAACCATACTGTTCATGACCTGACCTGTCCCCAGTGTTCTTAGTATGCAACACAGACACGGCACAAGACAATTGAATCATTAAAATTTGAAACCATATCGATTTCATAAATCTTCTAATTAAATTTCTCCAATTTAAAATTACTTTTATGTTTTTGTCAGTTATTTGATGTGTTAGATTAGTTACCAATTAATAAATAATTGTAACCAAAATATCAATAATACTATGATTACTGTAATTCCATACAAATGGATCTACAAATATAGGTTAAAAGAACTTCAACGCAATTCAATTAATTAGGAATGTAAAATATATTTAAAAAATATTATTAAGTAAAACCAATGTTATAAATTAATGATTTAATTTTAATAAAAATATTACAAATCATTTTTTACAGACACTTAAAACAATTCAAATAACACAAATCCGGTAAAATATAATATACACCAATATAAATAGCAAAAGAAATTGTCATTTAAAAAAGTTTATTTGTCTTTCTTCAATGTACCAGGTATTGAATACACACAAGGTTTTGGAAACCATCCTCGTACTCGAGTACCATCGGAAACCTTCTTATGACCATACATCCAATATCTGATACAAACATTTTAACTGTTAATTTGAGATAAAATGTTATGACAAAATATCTTACTTTCGAAATCTAGTGACTTGAACAATCTCACCAACATTCAATGGCATTCGTGTTTCGTCAGTCCATGGTATTTGACAACAAACACATACACCAAACATTAATGGAAACCATCTGCCGTTGTATTCTTTAATTACTACCATAGGTTGTTTCCATGATTCTTTAATTAATTTTTGTTCTAACTGCTCAATCTTTAAAAATTATAAAATTTAATACAATTGTACGTAGTTATGCCGGGCTGTATGAAGAATCACTAAACATTTAACAAATCAATAGTGAACTAATGATCCCTTAAACATATTGGCCAATGATTGGTCCATAAAATTGTATTGGGCTGTTAAATTGATAACTTTTTCATGCAACCCGGTATTAGTATGTTCATCTATTCAAGAAACAGTAATGCTGGGTATGTTATCTAACAATTATAATAAAAACCAAAAGTAATTTTGCAAAAGCCTCATTAATTATTTATAATCATTCTAATGCAGTAAAACTCATCCAACAGACCCTTACCAAAATACAATAAGTTTTTTTGGAAATGGAGACATATGGTATTGGAAAGTGTCTGTTAGCTGTATTTTACTGTATTATAAATGATAATAAATAAGCAATGGAGCTTTATAAGTTCTTATCAAATTAACACTACTGGTTACTTCTTACAATTACTTTTGGGTATTATTAAACAAAACATGTAATTTGATCTTTTAGCTTACCGTTAAATCATATTCACCACATTCACTACGCACTGCCCAGTGAATACCATCGTCTTTGGAAAAAAACTAATAGTAAAATAACAAACAAAAAAATTATCAGGAATTTATAATATGCATTCAAACCAAATGGAAAAAGTTAAGATTTTATATTAAAACTAGCCGATCCCATGCACTTTGTTGCCCTTTAAAAATACCAACTCTATATGAGACTGGATGGTGATAATGCAAGCAGTACATTATGCCTGCCTGCTGTGGATTGCGGACCCCACTTTATGTAAATAATATGTTATATTTTTATTTTTATTGCGGACAAGCAGATGAGCGGCTATAAGTGCAACTCAGCCACCTTGGTAGGCAATGTGCGAAAATTCAGTTGTATGCATGCTTATACCTGATCTGCCCGATAAGCCACGGCAGGCAACCAATAAACAAAATAAAATACCAATTTTTACTAAAAATATATACTTCTCCTATAAGCAATTGCATCCGTATATAAACAAATAATTCCTTCGTAAATCTTAAAATTCCTGTTTGAGCAACTCCCCGGGTCAGACCTATTGGGTCCAATTGTGAATCTAAACCATCCAGGGTGTCACCCAAACGCATACAAAAAAATTCATTCAAACGGTCCAGCTGTTAAGGAAGAGTTCAGTGACATACACATTCACAGTAGAGTTATATATACAGTGTGATCCAACAAGTATGCTCACCCCCCTTTTTTCCTATAATAATAATGTTTTTCAAAATCTGATTTTTGGAATCTTTAAATACACTCAAAGACCATATTTTCATATTCTTGAGATTTTTGTGCCACATAAGGAGTGTCGTGAACCTTTGTTTTTCAAATGACAATACCACTTTTTTTCTTTAAATTATTATGCGGATAATTTTTTTGAGAATTTTGATGTATCAAAATCAAAATTCGAACGAGTGGTTTTCTACTTATCGGACAATTTGTACTGAGAATAATAGTCCATAATAGGGATATGCTTATACAGTTCTACACATGGAATAAGAAAAATAACTAAATAAATCAAGAAGGATTTTACTTGCTATTTACTCAGGTGTTTGACTGAATAAATATAAAATGACGTATTATTTTATATTATGTGTATAGACAATAGATAACAACTTATACTGTATAAGCATATCCTATATTATAAACTATACCATCTTTAGCACAAAATGTGTAATAACTAAAAAACTACCTGTTCGAATTTTGATTTCAATACATTAAAATTCTCAAACAAATTATATACTAAATAATTTACAGTAAAAAAGTGGGGGTTCCCACTTAAAAAACAAAAGTTTGTATCGCCACAGGACACTCCTAGTGTGGTACAAAAATCTCAAGAATATGAAAATATGGTCTTTGAGTATATTTAAAGATTCCATAAATCAGATTTTGAAAAACTTCATTATTAAAGAAAAAAAGGGGGTGAGCATACTTGTTGGATCATCCTGTATAAAGATGACAGGTACCCAAAACTAGTTAGTTACAGTATGTACGATTACATTTTTACAAAATATGTACTTACTGCTTTGATATTATTTAATTTCCCTAAATTGTATGGATATATAAATGGTGGCAAATTCCGATCTTGTTCACGCCTTGATATTGCTTTTCCCACAATCCAGTCTTCAATATTCGTACAATTTTTCAGCACATATTTCATCTATTGAATTAATACATTATGTACAACAAAATATTACAATTATAAGTTATAAAACAAATTATATTAGGTAAATAGGTATTTATTTAAATAATTACTTAATATTCACTCACTTGTATAAAAAATAGTAAACTGAGTGTGAGGATTAAACATATAGCTAATCCAAATGCTGTAAGCCATAAAAGGGTTAACTTTAATGGAAAATATACCAATACCCGATGCCCATATTGCCTGTTTAAGTATACAATACAAAATAAAATATATAAGATCAAAACTAATTTAATCTATTATTAATTACAAAAACTAAAAACTTACTTACGCGAGTACAAGCAACAGGGTCTTGAGTAATAATGTGGATGATTGAATGGATGCTACTATAGATACAAAAATAAATATCACAAACGATGGATGATTTGCATGGCCTACACAAGTGTTCAACCACGGACAATGATGATCCATTTTTAATACACAACGGTTACCTAAATTAATGATTTTAAAATATATAAAACAGATAGTGAGAGTTTAAAATATTTCATATTAGTACACTTATGACAATGATGAACACGGGGCGCTTTGTACCCATCACATATTGTACAAAACTGCAAATACTGTTGGTCTTCTTCAAATTCCTGTGAAACCAAAATTCAAGTTTAGTTTTTTGTGTGATAGAAAAATTGTAATTGTATAGTACTGGTTTCCATTTGAGTGGAAGAAATCCTGGTCCAACAATAACACTTTTCAAATAACATGAAAAGCTGATGACAAATAATGTCAACAAAAGTACGTTATTGAGAAATCCTCCCAATGAACCAAAACATGGCCACCACATTTCCGTAAAATATAACGTTGTCAGTGTTACAAATTTGTAAATTACTGAAATACACCAAACATTTAATAATAACACCTTTAGGTACTCAAGCCAATATTTAAAAACTTACTAATTGACAAAATTGGTCCCCAGTGGACAAATCTTGTCAAAGATGATTGACGTACGGGAGGCATTTTGAGCAGGTCGATAACTTTCCATTAATTAGATATAATGTTCATGATGGCAAAGTACAAATAAATAGTTAAAGAAACCTTTTAAGTTTAAAGTTTTAATAAATCGTTGTATTTAAATATAAAAAAATTTTAAGTACAAATGATAGATTATCCATAATCTATTATCAACATACAATGATAATAGAATTAGTGTTAAGAGGACGTCTCATCAAAATAATAATATGTACATAGGTAGTAGGTATGTGGGTAGTAGGTACTCTAACAATTTCCTTTAAAAATACGATTGCGTGTTCCAAAAATATGAGTTTCTGAATACTGAGGGGTTTTATTGTAAAAACACCCATTGTTGTAGAGGAGATTACATTTTGGAAATGTAAGAGGCCCAATTTTTGATTATTTAAATTTTCAACCCTCAAAATAACTGTCGAAAAAGTAAAATAACAGGCATTATTCCACATGAAATATTTTACTAAGTTATACAGATATCAAATTCGGGTTTCTTATTACTTATTAGTTATTACTTAAGTTTATTACATATTTCATGATTATTGTTATTTTATTCTCAACCATTTCTGTTTATTCACAATGTTAAAGTTATGAAAATTAGTGAAAATAATATTGCTCAATTTTGACGATTGTTTTCTCAACATGTTTGAAAAGGTAATAATGATGCATATTTGAGGGTACTATTATTTTAAGTCAGGTTTCACCATCATACATTTTTTATTAAAATTTTATACAATATAATTTTAAATATTAAATTAAATATACAGGTTTCTTAGGGGGATTGGATGCCGACCAGTGAAATACGTGTGCAATAAGTGGTGATAACTTTACACACTAGTACACTTCCTACAATATTAAAAATTGTGTATGTATATTTTACATTTTTAAAAACTGTTCCTTTTTTACCTACTGCCGTTGTAAACAGCTCAAAATAAGCTTTTGTTCGATAAAAAATAATTATTATATTAAACACAATTTTTAATTTTAGTTATAAATTACTTTTGAAGTAGATTTTAGTTAATACAAGCAATGTATTAAAAGTTATTAAAGTTTAACTTAAAAATATCAGATTTTGAAAGTGCTACTTATAACTTTTATTTTCAATGATATCAAACAAATAAAAACGCTACGACATATTATCTTCTATATCGTGTATAAGCTTTTGGCGTCTCTAATGACTGAGTTGTTCTATCTCGTAGAAAACAGTTTTTGCTATGCTGTACATTTGTAACACAAAGACAACACATGCATGTGTAGCATCCTCTTAATTTAAGGGTCAAATTCAACATCGAAAAATTTAAACTTGAAAAAATAAATGTGACTTTTTGGTGAACTTTTTTTGGTATAAGTACACAACGTATGAAGAATATAGTGTTAAATCATTCAATTTTAGGTATAAAAAGAAATTTTTTTTACGAATTTGTAACTCAAAATGCAGATTTTTGTGACACCGAATTTTGTCAAAATTCTTACTTTAAGCAATTATAAAAAAATATTTAAAAGGTAAATAAATAAAAAAATAGAAATATTTTGATATTGGTGAATACATATTTTCGATATTTTTTAATTTTATAATATGAACAACTTATGAATTAATTATGATTAACCTTGTATACAATTACAATTGTTCAACTTTTTGATCTGAAGATATCTACATTAAGTAGAAAAAAAACTACATAAAATCGAAAAAGTCATAGGCAAAACATATCTAAAATACCTAGCTCAAAAAGTATAAAAAAATGTAAGAAAAATTTCGTGTAGATATGTATGTACGGTTATTCACTTTTAAATTGTCTAATAAATAATTTAATTGTTGAAAGAAATTAATGGTGATTAAATTGGTAAATTGTGAGTGGCCTGTATACATTTCAATCTCCCAGACTGCATTTGGTGCCCACTCCTACAGTCCTACATGGATGCAAACAAACCAAGAACGGTCCAGAATCTCTGAATAGAGGGGGCACTTAAATTCAAAAATATAGAAAAAAATTTTTATGAGCGAAAGGGGCACTTTCCCCCCTCTGGACATTCTTGGTCTTATCAAAAAATAAAGTTACGACACAGTTAAAATTCTCATCTATTCATGGTGAACATTTGGTTTCTCAGTTATAACTTTACTGTAGTCTTCTCAGAGCAAAACAGTTTTTTATATCTTATCTAAGACGGAGATAACACATGTGTTTATAGCGTCCTTTTAACTATTTCTCCTCAATCAAGTTTTGATACTTAGTTGTAATTCAAAAATGAATAATTGTGGATACTTGACATTTTCCCAAAATACTTATATTTAAATAAGTATTTTCTTTACGTACATTGAGTACCTAATAACCTGCTAATAAAAAAACTAATAGCCAAATATTGAAGTTTACTACATCCATATATTGATTTAAAAAGGAATTTTGCATCAGATTGTAATCATCAGCACTCAGAATATAGAGGTTGGTAATATGAATAAAATTAAACATCAATTTTTTTCAAAAATTAAGTGTTACATAATTACTTTAAAGTACAAACAGGAAAAATATTTTTTGACAAATAGAAATTTATGGAGACAAAAATTAATTAATAGTTTGTAATTAAAAGAATCATTCTCATGTATGATTTGGTAAACACAGACACACAGTATAGTAAGTAAAAAGAATAGTAGCAGCAGTTGTAATAAAATATTTTACACTTTTAAAATTAATACTTAATAACACTTAAACTGTAAATGTATGAAATTTCACAACATGTCAAATAAAATTGATTCTAAAAAGAATTTTTATTTTAAATAACATAAAACTTAAGTATAGGCATATAATATGTACTGGCATTAAAAACAATGAAGGTACATTATATTCAGGAGATAAGTATATAATATATAAATTTGTATAAAAAATAACTAGTTGAAAACTCTATAGGTAATTTGATAACATAAAAATAAATGTAATGATTTTAATACACAAAAATAATTGAATGAAAAATAAGAACTGGTAAATTTTATATCAATTTTAAGTTACACTTAATTTATGAGATGTATATTCCCTTGTCAATGATCAATGCTGAACAAACTGCCCGAACTCATATCGTGTGGAATTATACCCAAGTCAAATTCTTGAGTTTCATCCTAAATTATAAATGAAAAAAAAATTATGGATTTTTAGTGAACAGGTGAAATAATCTGCGAAGATAATTAATGTGAAACTAACCTCTCCTTGAAAATATTTCTCTACTATATTGAATGACATTTCATAAATTTTTTGAGAAGAATGATTCTGCAATGCTTCCAGGTGATCTAATCCACTTGCCTCTTCAATTAACATACAAAGTTTGCCTCGGGTGCATTCAGATTTCTTAAATGCACAAAACACTGCTGTTAGAATATGTGACATAATGTAATATAGAAACTGTATCTTACTTCTAATAGTTGATTAAGACCTTCCAGTACTATCTCTATCATTCTATCATCTGGAGATCGTAATAAGCCACAATAAGGTTCTAATATTCCAATATCAATCAGATGAGATTTCTGAGCATCTGAACCACCACTAAATAGATTGTTTATGGCCCAAGCTGCTTCTTTTTGTACTTTGACATCTCCCTATTACATTTATATATTTTACAATATTATGCTTTAAGTTACAAATGGGTAATTATACTATTAATACTACTAAACTAGGTAGTTAATGGAACAGTGCAAACACAACAATAATGTTATAAATAATAAATACAATGAAAAATAATAATAATAAATAATAATGTTAAGTTTAATAAATCCAAGTACTTTCAATGCTCTCTAATTAACAGAAAAGTTTATGTGATTTCCAAAAGAAAGAGAGGAGTAGAATATCCCTATGTCTTCAAAAATTGAAGCAGTCATAATTAAGTCAACTTGAGAGCCAGATTATACACTTGTAGAAATATCAGAAAAAGATATACTGCAATACACAAGTTATAGTTGATAACTCTTGTTGGGCCGGAATTGGTGTTGTTCAGAGATAAGTAATTAGATTGTACATTTTAAAAACCTATTCAATTGAAATTCATAACATTGAACTTACACGTCGTAGAGCTCTAATTAAAACTGGCAATAGATTATGATCAATAGCTGCTTGAATTTGTTCTACACTACCAGCCATCACATTTGATAACAACCAAGCAGCATCTTTCACAACAGGAATACGCCTGTGATTTAATAGACTATGGAGGTATTTAAGTATACCATGATCCAATGCATGTTTTGTCTACACAAATATCATAAACGATTAAATAATGAAAATAAAAAATTACATTTAATATAACATAAGTTATTTAACTTACTTGTACATCATTACCAGACACAATATTTCCAACTACTCGTAGTGCAGGTATAAGAATAGAAGTGTCATCAACTTCTAAATATTTTAAAATTGCCCTCAATGTACCTGCTTCAATAATTACTTGAATTTTTTCATTGCTCCCATCAGTCAAGTATGATAAAGCCCAACAAGCATTAGCTAACACATACAAATAGATATTAATATAATAATATTTGATAAATATTATTTAGTAGTATTTCAGTATTTACTTACATATAACCTGAGAATCATTATGACTCAACATTCTAACCAACAATGGAATAGATGGAAGTAAATAATTAAAATTTGGAGGAGGAGTTTTGCTGCGACAAAGATTTGATAGTGTCCATACTATGTTCTGTTGTGCAGTTACTTGTTGTGTTGTTTCTAATAAGCTGTTTAAAATTGGTACAATACCATTGGATAATACAATATCCCTAAGTTGGGGTCCATCACCTGCAATATTTCCTAATGCCCAAACGGCTTGTTCCATCACACGTATATCTGGTGATTTGAGCAAATTAATAAGTAAAGGGACTGCACCCTCATTAACTATACAAATGGTGTTTTCTGATGATCCTGATGCTACGTTAGTCAATATCCAAGAACATTCATATTGGAAATCGGTACTGTAAAAAATTCCTATAGTTAAAATCATTGAAGATTTATGAATCCCTAATACCCATCATACTTATTATTATATTTTGGAGTTAAGAAATCCATCAACATTGGTAAAATTCCAGCTTTAATAAAGTCATCAATGGGAGCACATTTCCTAGAACTTAACATCTTACGAGCATATTTTAAGCAATTCAATTTCT